CTTTTTTGTCTGTCACAAAGGGCAGGGAGAGGTCCAGATGTGGGCAGAAAGAAGCCTTTCTGTCCCATCTCCAGGCTGCCAAGTACAGCTGTACAGGTTGTTCACTGCACATGGGCACCAAGCCAAAAGGACTGAAATCTACCAGGCCCTTTGTCTGCTAGGCCGTGTGTCTGTGAGGCTGTATCTGCCCAGAAATTCTATCTTTTTTCTTTTATTTTTTTTAATGATCTGAAATTCACGCAGCTTAAAATTCACCATTTTAAAGTACAAAAGTTGGTGGTTTACTATTCACAGCATTGAATAACCATTGCCATTCTTAGTTTCTAGGGCATTTCCTTTTTATTTCATTTGTTTGTGTGTTTGAGACAGGGTCTTGCTTTGTAGTTCAGGCTGCCTTTGAACTCACTATGTAGCCCAGGCTGGCCTCAGACTTGAGGCAATCCTCCTGACCCAGCTTCCTGAGCGCTGGGATCACAGGTATGCACCACCACACCTGGCTCTAGGGCATTTTTGTCACCCCCAAAACTTATAACTTAATTCGCCCCTTCTGCCATCCTTTGGTGACTACTAATCTGGTCTCTATAGACTTCCTTATTTTGGACTTTTATATAAATGGTGCCCTGTGATTTATAGACTTGTGATTGGCTTCTTTCATGTAACGTGATGTTTTCAAGTTCCATGCACATGTACCCTTCCTTTTTGTGGCTAAATAATATTCCACTGTACTCGCAGTCTGCTTTTTGAGCATGCACTCATTCATGGACATTGGGGTTGTACCCACTGGTTGTTATGAATAATAATGGGAAGATTCTTGTGTGTTTGTGAACATGTTTCCTTTCTCTGCTTAGGTGTCTATGGGGGGGTGGGACTGGAGGGTCAAATGCTAATCCTATGTTTACCTTTTGACTCACCCAAGTGTTTTTCAAAAACACTGCACCATTTCACACCCACATAGGTGTGGTCGAGGCTTCCCATAGACCCGTGTCCTTGTCAGTGCTCGCTGTTATACACTGTTTTCATTATTTTGGCCTTCCCAGCATGTGGGCTGTGCTCTCTCCTTGTGGTTTTGATGAGCATTTCTCTAATAGCTAATGATGCTGGGCATCTTTTCATGTGCTTATTGGCCACTTATGTATTTTCTTTGGAGATGCATCTATTTAAATCCTGTGCTCATTTTCTATTGTTTGTCTTTTTAATGGTGAATTGTACAAGCCTCTTATGCTCCTCCGGTGTCAGCCCTGGAGGAGCTGTGTGATTTGCAAACCTTCCCTCCCATTCTCTGGGGACTGCCTTCGTCCGACTCAGGCCAGGGTCTCCGTGGGCCAGTAGAGACCTTAGCCCCTCAGCCAGTGTCCCCCACTCTCCTATCGTGAAACCAGAAGCAGTCCCTGGGAGATCTCACCCCAGAGCGCAGCTTCCTCCCCCAGGACCTTTACAGATGTCCCTTCCTGTGCCAGGCACTGGGAGTCCAGCCTTGAAGACTGACTGTGCAGGTCCTTTCCTGTCCTCCTGAGCGATGCCAGCAGCCACTTAGGTACTCAAACCAGAAAGGAGGCGCTGTCTGGACCCTGGCCCTATCATACCACTCTCCAATCAACAGAGGCTGCCTGGACCCCACCTCCTACCACTCTCCAATCAGCTGTGCTTGCCTAGACCCTGGCCCCACCCACCCTCCCTTCCTTGTCCTGTCCCCCACCACACTGCCTCTCACCTGGAGGGCTACAGGGCTCTGTGACTTCACTCCACCATGGATGCTGATAACTTCTCAGCAGCTCCAGTCTGCTCCCTCCTCTCCCCTCCTGGAGGTGACACATCTGCAACCTGCCTCAGCTTCACCACTATGCATCTCAGGACCCCCGAACGGCACCCTGGCTTGGCTCTTGGCCCAGTAGGGTCAGCCTCTTGGGTCTGCATCCTCAGAGAGTCCTCGAACCCAAAGTCTAGAAAGGACTTCAGCAAGCACGCGGCCACCCCTTCACCTTGGCCTCTAGAAAGCTCTGTTCTTCCTCCTGGAAAATGGAAATAATGCCACTCTCTAGGCTGTCGTGAGCCTCAGAGGAGATCTGTGTTTGGGAAACACATCTGGACTCCTGGGTTAGCTTCTGAGCTGGATAGAGAAACTGAGACCCAAGAGACCCCAGTAGTTTCCAACTGTGTTTGAGTCACCAGGGCAGCTGGTGGAACAAGTACCCCAGGGCCTTCACGCTGGGTGGGGCAGGGTCTCTTCTGGATGGCTGCCTTCCCAGCAGCCTCTGCCCAGGGCCGCTGAACCCGAGGCCCCTCTGGATGAGTCCACTGCACTAGACTTGGCCAGGAAGGTTGCTCGGGAGGAGTCCTGGGGTGCACAGCTCTGGCCTCTGGGACCTGTGGACCCCTGGGGAGAGGGACAGGGACAGGGAAGGAGCGGCTGCTCCTCCACAGGTGGACAGGACTAGAACCAAGTTAAAGCCCACCAGGCTTGTGCCTGGAGCCACCGTCCCCTTCCCCATCCCAACCAGACGTGTCTGTCCCTTGTGCAGGACGGGAGGCTCGTCCATCCCTGGTCCAGGGCAATTGCCCAATAACACGGATTCCAAACACAACGGTATTTCCTCATTCTTCACTCTTCTTTCCCCTCCTGGATGGTTTGCTTTGTCATTCTGCCCCAGGAATTGTAGTTGTATTTTCTCAGGTTTTTATTTCTGCCCTGATTACGTGAGCTTTCCATACTTCCTGGGCACAGTCCAGTCACAGCTTGGGGCTTTGGACATAACTCACCCTCTGTCTCCTTGCCACCTCCCTGCACAGTCTCAGGGGGCCAGAGAGAAGCTGCATGTTTTCTATGGCTTTTCAGAGCCACCTGACTGTGCTTGCTGGAGATTCCTGACCTTCAACCTGGACAGCCCTCAAGGCCGCCTCCCTAGTCACTGCCTCTGCAGCTCTGCTGGACAATGTGCCCCCCTCGCCTGCTTCCCCCATGCTCCTCTCCCTTCTTCACCCCACCCCCACCCCAGGAAATAGAAGCCAAATATCCCCAGGCCCACAGCACACTGACTGTGGCAGCGGGAATGTGTCCCCCAGTGTCCCGTGTTCTCAGCTGAATCTGCAGAAATATGTCTATGGGGTTTGGAGCAGGGCCTGTGGGAAGTAATGAGGGTTGGATGAGGTCACGAGGGTGGGGCTCCCATTATGGCATTAATGACTTTGTAGAAGAGGGAGAGACGTGAGCTGGAACTGTGCTCGTCTCACCTTGTGATGCCCTTCACCATGTGATGACGCAGCAGTGACGCAGCCATGCCCTGTTCCCCAGCCTCCAGAGCTGTGAGCCCGGGGAACTTCTCTTCTTTATAAATTACCTGTCTCGGGCATTCAGTCACAGTAATGGAAAACAGACTAAGACACTTACCCTGCCCCATACTCTGCCTGCCTACCTGTTCCACGGGTGAACTGTCCAGGCACTCGTGTGTCTGGACCTGTGCCCTGGGCCCCACCTCTCACATCTGCTTGGGGACAGCTCCAGGAATTGTCCCTCTTTCACCCCAGCATTGTTTCTCCCTCCTGTCCTCTGGGTTGTTCTCAGGAAGCATACTTACACGGTGTTGGGTGTTGTTCCTCCCTTCTTTGAAACACCGTCACACACAAACCCTTCTGGGCTCCCGGTCCCCCTCCAACTACCCCTTCTTACCCCACCCTAAGGTGTTCGTGATTGCAGGGTAACAATGCACCCTAAACTAATGGCTGTGTGACAGCCAACGTGGATTCTCCAGGGCAGTGGCTGGGAGGTCTTAGCTGAGCAGCTCTTCTGTGCCCCCAGGGGCTGCAGCTTCCTGGGTCTCCACCAGGCAGGGATGTCACAGGCGGCAGCTGGTGCTGGCTGTGGAGCAGAGGGTGTCCACACACAATCTCATGAGCCTTTGGCATCTTTTAGACGGCAGGATCCTGGAACACGCATCCTGTTGGTTAAAGGAAATCACGGGGAGAGCCTGGACTCGAGGGGAAGAGGGTGACACAGGACCTGAATGCCACGAGGTGAGATTCTTCAGGGCCACCAACCACAGACACTCATCCCCTTCTGCAGCAGAGCTTCTCTGAAGAACTGTGTGTCCTCAGTCTTTCCACTTCCTCCCATTTTCCTTAACCTCCTCTGGTCAGGCTTTTGCTGCTCCTCTGATGCCCTTTGTCAAGGTCACCGATGGCCTCCACGTGGCAGAGTTCAGTCATTTCTTGGTCCTTACTCTGTGGCTCAGCATGGGTGACTGTACCTGCTTCACCAGTTCCAGGCCCTGGCATTCCCCTTCTAGCCTCCTTATGGTTCCCTTGGCTCCCCAACCTGTGCGTGTCGGGGTGAATCCCCCCACCCCGCTGTAATCTGACCCAGACTCATCATTTTAAATACCACACAAAAATTTTCTGGTCAGTGACACACTGCTAGTACAATGGTGGCCCATGAGATTATAATGGGGTGAGAATATCCTACCACCTAGGGACCTCATGGCCACAATGACATCCTAGCCAAATGCCTTCCTCAGGCTACTGGTGGAGACGTTGCCAGTGGTTGACAGTAGAGCACGTACAACCTTGTATGGCTCAGAATACTCTGTCAAGATGATAGATTCCCACGCCAGGCTTGGTGGCATATGCCTGTAATCATAACACACAGGAAGCTAAGGCAGGAAGATCGCTGTGATTTAAGGCCAGCCTGGGCTCCACAGTGAGTTCAAGGACAGCCTGAACTACATAGTGAGACTCTGTGAAATTAATTTTTTAAAAAATGTTATTTTATTGGTACATTTTAAGTATACAGTATAATGACATTCATCATTGGAAATTTGCACCTTTACATACTCTTTTGGTTCTTTTTTCCCCCTTCCCCAGCCCTCCCTTCAACCCCTCCACCCCTCCCTATTACAAAGACTTTGTTTCCATTTTTCCATTTTCTCATATTAATTCCATTCCTTTTTTTTCCTTTCCCCTAGCCCTCCCACTTCCCCCTCCCCGTTGCCCCTTTTCTTCCTATTTCACATGACCTATTATACCTTTTAGTCCTTATTTACACTTTCAGTTTCTCACACTAGAGAAACTATTCGGTATTTACACATGTGTGTCCTATTTATTACTGTGAAATTAATTCTAATAATACATCATATTTAACCCAACATAAACAAAATATTACCATTCCAATATGTCATTGATATTAAAAAAAGATCAATGAAATACACTCCATCCTTTCTCTTTCACACTAAGTCTTTGAAACCTGATGTGTACTTCTCACTCCAAGCATTTAGCAGGTCCCCATGGTTGGTGGCCACTACCCAGACAGTGCAGCTCTAAACAGTCATGGTCTCCGTGGAGTTCAGAGGACAGAGGAACACACCCAGTGCCACCAGAGGTGCAGCTGGCAAAATCCAGACTTCAGAAGCCACAGGAAAACCCACCCAGGGTTTCTGTTCTTCAAGAAACATTGAAAGGGGGGGAAGTGGTGAGAGGAAACCTAAAACTAATCAAGTTGCCAGAGACATATCAAGTGGTCAGAACCGATGGCTCTTGTTTGTTTCCTGGAGGAAAGAGACCACTTGTGTGTCATTTTGTGGTGTTTATGACAGAATTGGAAATCTAATGCTGACCGAATGTTTGATGGTATCCAGGGTTATTTGTTTCAGATGTGATAATGGCATTGCGGTCATATACTTTTAAGAGTTATCACCTTTTAAAGAGATATCTTGAAATATTTATGAAGGCAGATGGATACAACAAGAAACTTGGAATTCCTTTCTGAAGAATGTGGGAGGGGACAGGTGGGTGGGGACAAAATGGAAGAAGACAGATAATGGCAATGGAGTGATGGGTGTGTGTTATACTATTCCAGCTACTTTTGTTTTTATTTGAAGTTTTGCATAGTAAAAAACAATCTAAGGAAGTTGGAATGCTTTGGAAAGGAACAAATACAGGGAAGGTCACGGAACAGGAAGTCTTGGGAGCAGGACACCTGTCACCAACTCTTCACTGTGTCCTGGGCTGGTCCTTGCAGGCTGAGATGTGGACAGTGCCCCTCAAGGTCCACATCAAAGGCTGGGCCCTGGTGGCATTGTTCCGAGCTACTGCATGTGTGGGGTTGGTTCAGGTGCGGAGCAGGAGGGAATGGTGGGGCCTGGGGAGAACCCGAGGCAGATGCCATTAGCAGCTAGTCATTGTTGCCATGGAGCACAGAGGGTCAACTTTCTTTGGTTTTTTGTTTTTATGAGAACCTGAAAAGTAGGAAATGTATGTAAATTTTTCTCTGTGAAAAAACACTCTGAAGGTCAAATGAAACTGATCTACGAGGTGAATTCACCTCATAGGTATCAGTTTGAAACCCTGACCTACCATCTACACAACTTGTTTCCTTCTCTGTAGGGCCACTACCACATCTCTATCTACTTCCCCATAAGACTCTGTTTTGATAAGGCTGAGATCATGGTTCTCTTGTTTACAGTTTAATTATACATGCCTAGCTCACTTCCTACATACTGTAGAGCTCAAAATATGGATGGATGGATGGACAGATGGGTGGATGGATGAATGGATGGATAGATGAGTGGATGGATGAGTAGACGGATGGATGGACAAATGGGTGGGTGGGTGGATGGGTGAGTGAAGAGCTCAGAGTCCCTGGAGGAAGACACTGCATAGCTGTGAGTCAGTATGCTACCGGGGAGAGAAAAAAGAGAGGAGACTTGTCTTCTCATTGTGGATTCTTATGGCATGAGCATCAGCAGACTCTTCTGTTGGAGTTCATGAGGACCAGACTGTCCCTTTGTGGAGGTGCCAGCCTCTGGGCCTGGGATGGGGTGTCTGGAGCATTGATCTACCCAGGGTGAGGGCCACGCCTTTTTGCTCCGCAGAGCCTACTGTCTGTGGCCACTCAGAGCCGAGGGCCCGAGGGCTGTGCTCTGTCACACTCTCCTCCCCGCCAGGCATGCCACCCCCTCTAACCCCAGCCTGCCCAGGAAGCAGCCTGTCTGGTCCCCTGCTTGTCCCCACCCAGGCATGGACTACATGGCTTGAGGCCGGGATGGAGCAGGGCCATGGGCTTCTCTGGCTGGGAATGGATTCCTGGGGGCCTCTATCCCCATAGCCTCATGCTGGCTTCCGTGAGGACTGGCAGGATCCTCCTCTCACGTCGGCTGCAAGCACACAGAAGCCTTAGTGGCTCCTTTGACAGTGCCCACCACGTCTCTGCACTTAGCAGGTCAGTTCATTCACTCTCTGTTACAAGATGACCCTGAGTGACCAGTACCCCTTGACTGGCAGTGCTGTGGGCCCATGCCCTGCCCTCAGCTGGGTTGGAGCTGTCACCATCAACATTGCTCACAGTGGAAGTGTTGTTCTAAGCCATCTGCCATATCCAGAGCAACACTTTGCAAGCAGCACCTCATTTAATCCTCACCATGACACAATGACATAGGGAACAATGCTCTCACAACAGCTGAGGAAAATGCTGCTAGGATTTTATTTTTGAGCTGGAAAACCACCTGTGTTCAAATCCTGCCTCGGCTAGGTATTAACCACGTGGGCAAGTAACCTACTTTCTTTGGGCCTCAGTTTCCCCACCTGTAAGATGGAGATTGTAAAATGTCCAGAGTGGTGTCTGCCATGTAGCAAGTGCTTGTTTTAGTTACCCTGGAAACAAACCCAGCACCTTGCAAGTGGTGTGTCAGGGAGACCTGAGGCACCCTCAGGGGAGGACGGAGAGAGCAATGAAGGACCTTTGTTATCTGTGTCACCACATGGGCACCTGGAGGTGAAGTCTGCTGGGAGTCCGTGCAGACCCACGCCTCTGGGTCACGCCTCACATCACCCCTCACAGGAGTGGTGGACTAGGCTGGGCGGGCACCAAAGGGTGGGGACGGCACGCCACCAGCAGCATCTGCTAAAACCTAATGTTGGATGGATGAGCAAGGAAAGGACACTGAGGTGGGCAGTTGATGTCTAATCCCAAAGCGTTCCTGTGTCATGTCACACACCAAAGGGACTTGCAGTCTGAGTGCACTTAGGGATCTTAAAATGAGATTCCGTGAAATCATCCTGGTGGGCCTGGCCTAGTTACAGGAGACGTGAAAGGCAGAGAATTTGCTCTGGCTGGAGACAGAAGGATGAGGCAGAAGGAGAAGCTGGAGAGGTCTGAAACATGAGAGGCTTGAGCAGCCTTGGGACTTCCCACAGGGCCACCCAGGAAGCAGGAGAGACCATCAGCTGGCGACCAGCAGGGAAGCGGACTTCAGCCTGTGGCCTGAACCAGCTCAGCAGCAGATTCCCCCCAGAGCCCTCAGGTGAGAGCCCAGGCCAACACCACCTCGACTTCAGCTGGGGAGGCTGACCAGAGTCCCCTGGGCCGCTGGACAGCTGCCCTGAGGACTTCGTGATGATGCACACGTGCTGTTTTAAGCCACTACTTTTGGGCTGGTTCGTTACAGCAGCACCAGGAAACAAACACAGAAACCTGGGCCAGTGACTGTCAGTGTCACACAGCCAGCAAGGGGCAGCTGTGGGGCTCTATGCCAGCCAGGGTGAGGAGACCTCACTAAACGCCCAAGACACTGTGTGGAGACCTCAGAATGGCAATAACGTAAGTGGGAAGAGCAAATGTTGGGGCCACGTCCCACTGTTATAGACAAAACGAAGACAACTAGCCATAAGAAAGAACAAGCCAAACCCACAGGCTCAAGGGAATAATTTAATTCCCTGTCAGAACAAAATCCAGTGCTCTCTAAGGAAAGAAAAGCCTAATTTAAAATTCCTACAATATCACCCGCAACGTGCAGAATGTAATGAAGAATCACTAGACACATGAGAAATCAGGAAAGTATGAGAATAATCAAAATAAAAAGCAGTAAGAGGCTCAGACATCCCCCAAATGATCCAGATGTTGGGAAGAGCAGAAAAGAACGCTTAAAAGAGCTAATATAACTGGGCGTGGTGGCACATACCTGTAATCCCAGCACTGAGGCAGGAGGATTGCCATGAGTTCAAGACCAGCCTGGGCTATATACTCAGTTCAAGGCCAGCCCAAATTGCAGAGTTTAAAAAACCCCAAAACACCAACCCATATATAGCGATTTAACAGATTGACATTCGAAGCATGGATGAAAATCACTTCTCACCCTTTGGCCAAAATGAAGTGTAGAATGAACAGATGAGAAATCCATTAGAAAAATGGAAAATATGCACAAGGACTAAATGGAAATTCCAGAACTGGAAAATTAAATATGATAAATAAGAAATTCACTAGTGGATCTAACAGTACATTGGAGACTACAAGCAAAAATTATAAATGAGTTTGAAGAGAAATCAATGGCTATTTTCCCAGAACAGAGAATAAAGGAGTAAAAAAAGAACAGAGGCTTAGCGACCACCTATATCCCTAGAATCAAAACTTTGAGGGCCAGAGATTTAACTCAGTGGCACCACGCCTGCCTCAAAAACGCAAGGTCCTGAGTTCAATCCCTGGTACCACAAAAAACAAAAACAAAAAAACAAAAAAAATACTTCGGCAGGAGAAGCCAGGATGTAGCAGAAAATGATTTCAAGAGATAAGAGATGTAATTAACTCAGTTTGGTAAGTGGAATTCAGCTTGTAAATTCAAGAAGCTTGGAGAAACTCAAGTAGAGTAACACACAGAACCCCGGCCCAAATGGATAAAGATGTGGCTCTGTTATAAAATGGAGTACTACTCTGCCATAAAGAAGGACATGCTTGAGACATTTCTAGCTAAATGGATGCACCTTGAGACCACACACACTCTTAAGTGACACACATGTTTAAATCGGACACACATGTTTAGATGCCACATTGTTTCTTTGGTGTGAGAAACTGAAAGCATAAATAAGGGCTAAAATGTGTAAAAGTTGGGCTGGGGATCTAGTTCAGTGGTTCCACCACCTGCCTCACAAGCCCAAGGTCCTGAGTTCGATCCCCAGTACCAAAAAAAATGTCCAAAAGTTATTTGTAAATGGGAAGGAAATGTTCAGATGAGAAGGGTAACAAGGGAGGACAGAGGGGGAAAGGAAAGAGAACAAGGAAAAAAATGGAAACAAAGCTTTTGTAAACAAGGAGGGGAAGAGGGGTTTCAGGGAGGGGAGGAGAATGGGAAAAAAAAGAAGCAAGATATATCACGTACAGGTACAAATTCCCTATGATGAATGTGCTCATTATGTATAACTAAAATGTACTGATAAAATAAAACAGAAAATGAAAAAAAAAAGAACCTCAGCCCATCATTAGACTGCTGATGAAAGTCCGAAAGAAAGAAGAAGTGTCAACCCATTCCATATATAGTGAAAATATCCCTCAAAATGGACGGATTTAAAAGAACATTTTCAGATAAACAAAAGCTGAGGGAATTTCTTGCAAGCAGAATTTCATTATAATTATAAGAATTGCTAAAGAAGGCTGGATGCAGTGGTGCCCACCTATGATCCCAGCCACATGAGGGGTTGAGGCAGGAGGGTTGCTTGAGCCCAGCTCAAGGCCACAGTGTGCCATGCAGTGGACTGGGTGTCTGCACTCAGTGTGGCATCAATATGGGAGCACTGAGTTGTGTGGATTGATCAGTAATGGGATTGTGCCTGAGTGTAGCCAGTGCACTGAGGCCCAGGCCACATACTGTCTCTCTTAGGGGGAAATAAAAGCCAAGCATGACAGCACACACTTGTAATCCCAGCACTCTGGGGAGCTGAGGCAGGAGAACACCAAGTTTGAGCTCAACCCGGGCAGCTTAGTGACTTAGCCAGCCCCTGTCTCAAAATAAAAAATAAAAAGGGCTGGGAATGTAGCTGTGGGTAAAGGCCTCGTGTTCCATCCTGCAGAATTAATGATTCATTGTTGAAGGGGGTTCTTAGGCAGACAGGAAATGATACTCAGTGGGAAATCAGATCTTTGGAAAGAAACGCAGCACTGTGGAAATGGTGGACATAAAGCTCCCCTCCCTGTGCCCTCCCCAGATATTTTCACTGGTTCTAGTGTCCTCCACCCTCAGGATGTTCGCAGAGCAGACCCGCTTGGGCTCTCCATCTCAGTGCTCTGGATGTGAGGGATGTGAGGGCTGCTGCACACCCCTCTGCTCCCAGTAGCCTTCATAGGAAGTGGTTTCCAGCACAGCCAGCCTGGCCCTCCAGGTATTCAGTTTAGCTAAGCCAGGTGCTGAGGACTTCATGCCTATGGTGGTCATGACAGAGACATGGGACTCAGGTGGAGCCCGCCAGTAAG